AAATATCACAGTATGACGAGATGAACATTTTCCCCAATAATGCTGTACAACTAAAAACAAATAGATGCATTTTTGTTGTAGATAGAAACGACAACGATGAAAGACAAGGCATTATTTTGTATTTGGATTGTAGTAGGTATATTTTGTGGTTCGTTTGTTCTTAACATTGTTCACATTTGAGACGTTACATCACTTACTTGGTTTGACCAAGATTAACGGTGTCGTCGATGAAGCAGAAGAAAAATTATTCTTTACGATTCTGCTGATATCAATGTCATCGATGTTTGTGATAAACACTTAGAAATGAAGTTCATTCTTAATTAAAATCTTTATTAATCTAATTAATTTAGTTAATCTAAAATCAAATTATGACTGTATTTTGTTATGCATGGGTGTAATGCCTTCTATGGACGGGCAGCCACTAAATGATTAGTACTTTTTAATACGTTTGCTAATACTGTTGAAGTGACCACCGATCCAAGGCTGATTTTCCGTTTCAGCTCTCGTGTACTTTAGAGTTTCAAGTAAGTTAGGGTTCCACAATTGGTGCTATTCATTTGTTTGACTTTTTAACAATCTTGGAAACAGGTGTTAAACACTGATGTCGGACCTAAAGTCCCTTGGGTTTGCCGTAACCTGCTTGCCACGTTTGAATTAATTCGGATTATACACACACACACACATATATATATATATATATATATATGAAAATTTCGAAATTAATTCTATTGTGGCGCTAGTGCACTTCACCGTCTAGATTAAAACTGTCCTTTCGAACACTTTTGATTTTCATCAATCGCCTCCGAAGACTAAGCATAACTAATGAGTTCAAAAAGGACGGAACAGCTGTATGATGCAGCATCACTGACGAGTCCTAAGGGGACAGAACAGTTGTATGATGTAGCATCACTGATGAGTCCTAGAAGGACGAAACAGCTGTATGATGTAGCATCACTGACGAGTCCTAGAAGGACGAAACAGCTGTATGATGTAGCATCACTGATGGGTCCTAGAAGGACGAAACAGCTGTATGATGTAGCATCACTGACGAGTCCTAAAGGGACGGAACAGCTGTATGATGCAGTTTGATTCATTGTTTGGCTCTACTGTGTCTAGCCCAAAATCCCTATTTCTTTAAAAGATGCAACAAAAATTAGATACACTGATAAGGATACATCTCGAAAAGGAAAAGATATCCAGGCCAGGGTTATGGAAAATGATACAATACTGAATGAAAGAAGAGTATATTGAAAATAGAAATAGTGTTATTATGAGAATAGTTTACATGGAAGTGTAAATGCTGATTTAAATATGGAATTATTGTAAAACAAACATACAATAAAACAATAGAGTACTGCGTATATAGGTCAAAACACAATAGCAAATAAATAAAAGATATTTTGGAGAGTAACACAAGCGTAACATGTTATGGAAATACAAACTGCTATCGAAAACCTGTGCCGAAGAAAAAGGCACAATAGAATCGATAATAAAATGGGTTAAAACTATTAGGGGTTGCGTGAATAAAAAAATGGATAACTGAAGAATATATATTAAGTGTGGAGTGGGGAATAAGACTAGGATGTAAATTGGCACAACTGGTTATTGTTTTGGCTGTGGAAATATGTGGCAAATCTCATAAGAAGTGACATCAATAAAATGCTTCTAAATTAGAGAAGACACATATGTATCACACAACTTGCTGACGACTTTGTTTATGAATTATAAAGACATTACTTAAGGATACAAAATAATTGAAGAATTCGGTAACTTTTCTTTTTTGAAGTTGAATAGAGAAAACATGGAATACATACGGCTAGGGCAAAACAAAGGGAAGATAATTATGACGGTATCTCTTGGCAAAAGAAAGAGATAGCTTTATACGTTTAACGAATAGAAAAGTATGTAAACATCTTAATTGGGGAAGTAAGGTTGTCTGTATTGACGGATTATTAAAGAAAAATATGTTTCCTGCACTGGCAGATTATTAATAATACAAGTTTAATTATTGATAAAAACATAGCACGTGCATAAGTGATAGAAAAGGAAAGGAAAAATGAAACAGTTGAAATACAAACGAATATGTCTGGGAAGGAAAGGTGGGAAAGGTGAGAAGAAAAACAATGAAAGGCAACCACAGTTGTGGGGTAGCACAACGTTACATGATACATTATATATCTTAACATTAAATGGACGTCTCTTTATGTCTTGGCAATCAATCTTCTAAACTCTCGTAAAATCAGAAAGGTTATTTCCATTACTTTAGTGTTACTCTCACTTTTCTATACTTTATAAACAAAACTAAATATTCAGGTAAATTTAAGGTGTTGTGTTATTTACACGGATGACCTACCCAGAAAGGATCCGGCCTTGTCACGTATATACCCGTCCACAGGTAACTTTTGGTGCCGAGGCACACGACTTTCCCATCGCTGAGGTGGGAAACTAAACACAATAAAACCGATTACGTTCAGTGTTAATAAAAATGTCTGTCGAATTGTAAATGACTTTTATAATCACCGATCAATTTCAATATTCCTGTGATCTCCATTCCATCATGACTACGCAAGTTTTCTGTTTAATGCTTAGTCCGTAATATTGGACAACCTTTTTTATTTATCCGCGTTATACTGTATAGTGCAAAGAATATAAATATAAACTAATATCAATATTTGAACTTGAGGCGATTGCACACTATAGATTATCAAGGGTGTCTTCTGTTTCAGAGCTATTTATAATATCATGACTTACTAAGTCTGTATAGAATCAGCCACAATTGTGACATAAAAATGTGAATTTGTTATCGCTATTTCCTGAACAGTAAGAGGTGGATCTCTCTCAAAGTTCATATGTCCGTTTCCCCTGTTTTCGAGTTGTGTATAATTTTTACATATAATTTTTGGACTGATCATAAAAACAAAATGGCCAAAAGGCGGCCGTCTTTGATTTTGACTTTGAAAGTTTGTTATCGCTTTTTTCTTGGGAAGTACTTGATGGATATTTTTTACGTTTGATATGTAAATTCCCCTTGGCCCCTCGTTATGCGCGTTTGATTTTGGGTCTGATCAAAGAAAGAAAGTAGATGAAAAGTCGGCCATCTTGTATTTTAACTTTGACCCATAAATAATTTGGTTTCAAACACTTGTGTAATAGCAAGAATCGTGTGAAGTCTGCGTCTTTAGACTTTCTTTGTCTCCAAGCATTCGTTTCGTTACGGCAATTTAGGAATGGTTGAATATGTTCAAATACATTATACTTTTGAAGCATCCTGACGATATCCGCTTATATAACATCTTTGAGTACATTCATTTGCTGTAAACAAAAACATCTTATAATAAAAACCTATTTTGATATTACATATCCTGCCTAGAAACAACAGCTTTTTGATATCTGTATAATATTGTAAAGACGTCCATCCATATAAAGATGTGCACATATCAGGTTTTGTTCTCTGGACTTAACAATAAAATGTCGGGTGCTCTCTAACATTAATGATTGCTCTCATCCGTGCAGTGCAGAAGGGTAGACTTTAATATCAATAATATTAGAAACTGTTAATGGGTTTATAGCACATTGGTGTACACCGGAGCGCAAAAGGGCCATAGTACCACTTTTCAATTCGTCACCAGCTAATATACTTTTTCTATAGAATACTTTTATTGAATACTTAAATGAATAATTTCTCCAAAAACTAGTGAAATATTATAGAGACGTTATGACTTATGTTAACCGTTCTTTTATATAGAAATTCCACAACTTTACTTTTTGAAGCAGAATACAAGAAACTTCAGCTGTAACACTGGTACTAAATGATAAATAGACACCATGTGCTTGAGTTGGACACTTCACAATGTTATCAATTATCATCGCGCCTCAACCTTTTTTTCAATAATTTCTTTTAATACCACTCTAAATTATTACTGGAACGGAGGTTAAGTCATTAAAAATTACAGCAGTGTGTACATCTGTATACATATATCGCAGATTGTTCTACACTTTGCCAATGTCGTATAGTTAATAATCCGCCATGCCAGCCAGTGTCAAACGCATTAGAACTATCTAAAACGACATATATAAACCATAACCCTGTTCCATATTGTAATAAATGTATTCTAGTAAATTGAATGCAGAGCAAAGACTACACATATTATTCAGGAAATCTGACAGTCAATTTAAGGAATCGCGGATCTCAACCAAAGGTTTAAGTACACCTGTCAGGGTAATTGTTATTAAATACCGACAAATCTTGTTTGAAGTTGCCTCAGTGTAGTGTACTAACGACCTGTTAAACGGCTTGTGATGATCTAACTGAATACCAGAAGCATGCCTCTATAAATAACTTGTCTTTCTCTTTTTATTCAGATATACACAATTATGTACAGAGTCACTTGTTTTTATTCTGCTTTAGCGCTGGATAAACATGGCGACTTAGAGTGGAATGATGATGATGATGATGATGATGATGATGATGATGATGATGATGATGATGATATGGTGTTAATCTAGTTATAGACATACTTCATCTTCTATGTCAACATTTTGTAACCGTACGGGATTTTATTTCTCAGAGGATTATTTTTGTAATGGTCATTACAAAAAATGAAAATAAGTAAACGACTAAAAAAAGAAAGGTTAGTTCCCTGAACCTGCTCAAAGTCTGCATCAATGCCTTATTGTGATGCGTGATTGAATACTATACGCTGATAGGAATCATTTTGTTACCCAGATTGAGGTTCACGTGGTTTGGGCAAGTGACCACTGACCTTTTCACGTCCGATCGGGTAGTCGATCCACGATCGCTTAGATGAAAGGTGAATGCGTTACCACTGCACCACTCTCTGCTATATATTAATCACTCCACATGCATATACTATATATAGGTTGTGTTACGATAAAATGTATAATGGGTGTAGTCGTGATCTGGATTACGATATCATGGAATATGAGTGTTGCGCCATAATGATGTTTTTGGTTTTTCATTGTCTGTAACGTGAAATGTTTTATAACTGTGCTATTTCCACGGCCGCTACTTTCCCCACACTCGCCAAACATTTGTTACATAAGCTATCTCCCCATCTTTCGTTTTTATGATACAAACTACAATGAGCTTCTACTTCTTTCAGTCGCTTGCACACTTTTTTAGAAGCCGATTCAAATAATTTCAATCTCTGCAGAAAGATAGTGGCAGTGTGAACGTGGGACAAATCCCAGAACCCTTGAACGTTTTCCAGTAAGTCCGATGATGTACGAGTTGCTATTTCGAAACAGTGTTGCTGGACACTACTCAATCCGTACTGATCCGCAAGTTGGATCGTCTTGACCAAATTGTCAGGAGATACACTCTTCCGGTTCCGGGTTAACTCTTCAAGAAGATATTGCTCGCATCGTAATTTCAAACTCGCAACTTTGTAATCCACAGCTAAGTCAAGCAGTGTCATCACGTTTTCTTCTGTAAAAGATAAAATAAAAAACAAAGGAAACTATTGTACATTCGGGCACATTGATTTCCGGTTGTATAATTCAAACAATAATTATATAACTTATTTGACAGATCAGGTTAAACCAAAATAAATACTAAATTCTCAGTAATTTTGTAATTCGTTCTTTCTGATTGTTACCTAATGTGAAAGAAGTTGTTTTCGCGGAACTCAATATTCATGGTTTTACAGAGAAATAAGGGAAACCTGAATGAAACGTACTCACGAAATCCAATGATATTATCAGATTGTAGAATAGACACTCAAGGAAATAGCACCTTCATGCAAATACAAAGAAGGGGAAACAGTAGTGTTATATAACTAGACTTTATCATACAATAGTTTCGTCTCTCTAGGACTCAATTATGCTACATAGCACAGCTGTTTCGTCTATATAGGACTCGTCTGTGACGCTTACAACAAAAACTTTCAAAGCTAGAAAGTAAGTGAGCGAAATGAAAATTTATAAAAAGATTGTGAAATCTAGATAGGGTGCACTATCCCCGTAATTCCGTAACTTTCTGGAATTCACTCTAGTCAATAACAATAGAAAATATACTGACATATCACCAGATTCTTAATTCAAGCTTAAATAGAACTAAGGCTAAATACAAACAAAAGAAATAGTAAAAATACAAAAACATCACAAGGGCTACAAGATCAGGTTTGCTGTAAGAGTAAGCGTCTTCAGCTTCATCGACAACACCTTGGTAAATCCAAATAAGTAATGCCACATTCTCAAATGAGAACAAGTTATACAATAACGGAACCACCAGGCAAACTAACGAACATCAAACATGTCCGGCTCCATATCGCAAAGAAAATTGAATATTACCTATGAGATCATTATGACGAACTTACACCTCACTAGCCTGCATCTTTAATACTTCTCCATTGAATGAATTTGTGGACTAAGTGTAACCTCGGGATCAGTTAAATATAAACCACAGTATACTATATATCTATTACTAACTAGGCTACATCACACTAGCCAATACTGTAAAAATATTCATTTTCGTGGGGTTTTCATTTTTATCGGTTTCGTTGGTTACCTTAATTTAAGAGTTCATGTGTCCTCGAACTGTTAGATAAATATAATCAGTAAACAGATTTATTGAGTTATGTTTATACATATGATCACGTGTCCCCTAAATAGTATTTTAAAAATCACAGTATTTCATTACATCTACAATCACAACAAGTTAGAATTAACATCTGAAATGTTTCAAAAGCATAGGTATTGTAGAAATACTTTGATAGATGATAATTAAGATAGAAAAAAACGTACAGTTATACACAGTATTAAGATAATTAATGCTGATAGAATAAGATATAAGTTTCAACAAGCTACACATGCAATTACCTAAATAAAGTTCAGATTTTTGCAATATTATTTTTTTTATTATATATAGATGAACATCCAATGAACAATAGAACTTTGATTTCTGTATTGTCTCCCCTTGGTATGCTATCAAACTGTGGTATTATAACAAAAATCTTGTCGAACGAACACAGATGTTCCCTGATGATTAAAGCAGATCGCTGTGTATTAAAATACACTGAAGTACCGGTAGATAAAACTGCTTATAATTCCATACAGAAGATTAGTTAGCATTTAACTAATTATGTTGATAGAGTATATAGACAAAAACAAGATATTTTATAGAATCTTCAAAACAAGATCTCTAAACATCATTTCAGGATAAAAAGACAAAACTTTCTGAAAATAAAAAATCGTACTTAGTTTTACCTCTGTCTCATGAAGCTTACAACAGTTAACTTATTCGTTCAATTATAGTGAAGTATTTACACGTATGACTGGCCACATTATTAGGGTTTAAATACACGGATGTTACGGTATTTAGGCCCGTCTATGATGCTCTGACAAGGCATATCTATTACCAGCTGATCTGTAGAGAACAAAACATGTATTTATTGTTTACAGTGGTTAAGTCTGTGTATTTATGTCTCTATACACAGGTGACATTGTTTACCAGATTAGATAAAGTATATGTCTTGTGTATCACTGCAGGGAACAACAAACATTGTTGTCTCCGGGTGGTACATTCAGGTATGAGTGAACAAAATGTTTTACTTTTCATTTGATACTAATAATACTAATAAGTATAATGAGAGAAATGCATTACTTTATTAGTTTTGTCATTTTATTCAGTTTAGTGCTGTTACGAGAAAGTTAGATATTTGATAAATTTTCTCAATTCAAACTAATAAGTGCCGTGGTGGCTTTTCTTGAATTGACATTTTTCCTACAAATACCGATTTATTTCCGAATGACATACCATATACAACTCTAACTAAGTAAGGTTAAACATTTCGTTCACATTGTAAGGTCATAGATATTCACATTGCACTAAACTAAGATATTTTTCTTTTCATCCCAAAGTAACCTTTAAAAAATGCACCAAGATAAGTTAGCAATAATAGGTCACCCCTACACAAAAACAAGAAAATGCTAATAGGTCAACATAATTATGTTCCAAACTCAAATGTAATAAAACTAGACCAAAAGAACAATAGAAAGATTGATATGGAGACTCCTGAGAATAAGACCAAGTGTTCCAGAAGATCAAGCGTCTTCTGTTTCATCGACGGCTCGCCACCAAAATTGTGGCTTTCCCAAGTTATAAATGTCACGTTATGAACTGAGACCAAAGTATACAACAATGGAAACGGCAGGCAAACTAACAAGCATCAACATATCCAGCTTCATATGCACAAATAATGCATAAAATTTAACAATTTTATCGTTGAGCCAGATCTTCGATTGTTCTGTTAAGTAAATAATTTAGTACACTTGTTGAGATTTGATATAACCCTGTTGAATACTATCTGTAATATACCGCTCGGCTACAGAGAACGTCTCTTTATCTCGATCCAAGTTCAAATCCTGGCAGTTACATTGAATAATGACATCTGTTGAATAAACATGTTTGCGAACAAATCATACGTTTCAGAGAAAAACAAATTTGCAAATAAAAATTCTCCACGGAGACAGTGGAACTATTTGAACCAATAATACATGAATATGATATTACACCATAAAGGCAATCATCCTCGATACTGCAGTCACGATTCCTTTCGCTCTCATCCTTGACAATAAAAGTCAATTATCATTTATTGATGTTACTTACCTGTCACGGGTTTTAATTTATCAGGATACACACAGCACAGGAATTCCAACATATCGTCAAAGGATCTCCCTGGTAGCGGGATTTCTATGACGCTTTGTTCCCGTGATCGGTTATCAAACATTTGTTTTAGGACGGGAGATATGATAGACAGTACGATCCTAGATACGTACAGTGGCTTGCCACCACACACTAGTCGCAGATCCGAAGTGTCATTGGCTTGTAAGAAACTTGCCGCTATCGACTCCGAATCTTTTTCAGTCCCTACATCTTTATTCACGTGATCCATTTCACGATCTTTGCCGTTCTGCCCGTCTTTGTTCGTCCGTGTGAGTTTTTCAGGGGTGCCGTCTTTTCTGATGACAGATTCTAGCTGGGGGGATGGTGGTCTGTTAGGAGAATTAATACTACGTGACATCACAGTGGGTGTTAAGAAACCTTCCTCAGACTTGCTAACAGAAGCGTTCAGCTCTTCTTTGGTATTGTTGATATTTTCAACAAAACTTCGACCAGCCTGGCACCCGCTTTCCACTAACAATTTGTTGTCAATACTGAGGTCACTCGTATGTGTACTGCCACTTGAAGAATTCGAAGGACACATAAGATCATTCATTTGTAACGGTTCGTCCATTGTTGTCTTCAAATTTCGGACTTTCTGGATACAGATACTATTGTTCCGAACGAACAGGTGGCGTGGGACTACCGTGATTAAATAGGATTGAAATTAGATACCTAAACCTGTGTCCCTCTGGCTAGACGACGAAGTTAAAACAATTACACCTATATAAATGGCAAAGCCATACCCAAAAACAAAAGACAGAATATTTTCATTGTTCATAAGGCGGGGCCAAGCATGAGGGTCGTTTAATTTAAATAGATATTGAATACCTTGCATTTGATTGTAATTTAAATACTTTATGTTTATTTATACATCGAATCAATCTTGGGTCTTTTTATAAAGATATAACAATGTATACAGGAAGGTTAAGTACAGTATTTCCTGACACAAAAACAATGGACTTGATTATTCCAGTTCAAACATGCCGTTATTTCAATAACATTGTATACGACATATTATGTTTTACTATCTTCAGCTTTGTTGCTTTAAATAAACAAATATGTCCAGTTTCAATTACTTAGAAAGTCGAATATTAGAATGTAAAAACATTAGAATTGATGCAATGATGGTTGACTTCCGTCTTCGTTTTCAATGGATTCTTTCAAAAAGTATATAGGATGGACGTTTTTTTTATTGGTAATAAACTTATTATGTTAAAGGACAGTGATTGACATAAAAGTATATTAAAAAACTTTAATTGAGAAAATCATTATTACGACAATAGTGATATGTAAATATATAAGTAAATGAAAACGTTATAAGAGAGTAGATTCACAAAACGAAAATATAGTAAACAGGAAGTTATGCTTTGTGTAATGTAGGTTCTGTCCTGCAAGGAACTAGAGTTTTTTGGGGTCTACGGATGATAGGCTTCGCAAGGGAACTTTTAGTACCACCAAACAAAAATGTCAAAACCTCGACACGTTAGCATGACACCCCGACCGGCATATCTTATGACAACAGGGAAGTTTTATAGTGCTATCACACTGACACGTCATACCCTCGACACGTTAACATGACGCCCCGACCGGTCCATCTTATGACAACAGGGAAGTTGTATAGTGTCATCACACTGACACGTCATACCCTCGACACGGTAACATGACGCCCCGACCGGTCCATCTTATGACAACAGGGAAGTTTTATAGTGCTATCACACTGACACGTCATACCCTCGACACGGTAACATGACGCCCCAACCGGTCCATCTTATGACAACAGGGAAGTTGTATAGTGTCATCACACTGACACGTCATACCCTCGACACGGTAACATGACGCCCCGACCGGTCCATCTTATGACAACAGGGAGGTTTTATAGTGTCATCACTCTGACACGTCATACCCTCGACACGGTAACATGACGCCCCGACCGGTCCATCTTATGACAACAGGGAAGTTTTATAGTGCTATCACACTGACACGTCATACCCTCGACACGGTAACATGACGCCCCGACCGGTCCATCTTATGACAACAGGGAAGTTTTATAGTGTCATCATTCTGACACGTCATACCCTCGACACGTTAGCATGACGCCCCGACCGGCACATCTTATGACCACATGGAAGTTTTATAGTGTCATCACTCTGACACGTCATACCCTGGACTCGATAGCATCACACTCCACTTGGCCACACTTTACTGACTGCAAGGTAAGTGTGACAATTATATATTCCTTTGAGTTTAGTTTGTTTCGGTCAGGCTACTAAACTCCCTCACTTGGGGAATCTTGGGTTGAAAAAAGCAACTGGAAATTGATAGATATTAACATCAACAGGATAGAAACAATAAAAGAAACAATTACCAAATTAGAAAAAGAATTAATACAACGAAATACAGAAAAAGGGATGAGAAGATACGTAGAAACAAGGGGAAAGGGACCGAGAGATAAGTTTAAGGATATATACGAACAATGAATGAATGAGCATTAAAGTTAAAGGATACTGATCTCAAGGAAACGACAATAGATCCGAATTAACCCTTAGGATTAAAAAAACGAAGCTGTGATAGCTTTAAGGACCATGTAGATCCACCTGTAAATACCATAGGTGTGGGAAGCAGTGTCGTTACTACCCAGAAATAGAAAATTCACAATAGGGACAATGAAATCATCATAATTATCATACAGATTGGTGGAAAGTGTCCACTACGTTGGTTTCGTTTTAGGAAATATTGAGATGAGAGGCTGACACAGACGAGTCTGTCGGGTATTTGATTTCAAATTCTGGTTTGTATATACACAACGGATGTGGTAAGTGAATTTGATCAATCTAAAAATCAAATCAAACGACTCTGTGTGGTCATTGTGACCTGTTTTATAGGCTCTTTAAAATCAAAACCCATATGAAATCAAAAACAAGTCAAACAACAGAAGGAAACACTTAGTTCTCGTATGCCAATATTCTGTTGGAAGATCTTACCTCCAAACTCACCCAAGATGTTATCAAACAGAAACTAAATTATTTCTATGATCTCGTCAGCTATATACATGCATTTCTTTTTTTTATTTGGACATATCTTTCATGATATACGCTAAGGTATATTTCACATCCATACATTTGTACCAATGGTTACTTTTCTTGGAAAAGAAAGCTCTGATAACAGGTTTGATATGGCGTCTGTAATACTGTGGTGTCAGGATATTGCTCAGAATTCTTAGCGAAGGCATCACAGGAATCTCTTAATCAAAAAGAACTGTGCTCAAAGCTTTGTTTATAAAAGTTCAGGAGTCTATTAGAGTACATCAACCTACAGAAACCTTAATACCGTCTAGTATTTCTACATATGTGTCTGACCTACAGAAACCTTAATACCGTCTAGTATTTCTACCTATGTGTCTGACCTACAGAAACCTTAATACCGTCTAGTATTTCTACATATGTGTCTGATCTACAGAAACCTTAATACCTCTAGTATTTCTACATATGTGTCTGACCTACAGAAACCTTAATACCGTCTAGTATTTCTACATATGTGTCTGACCTACAGAAACCTTAATACCCTCTAGTATTTCTACATATGTGTCTGACCTACAGACACCTTAATACCTCTAGTATTTCTACATATGTGTCTGACCTACAGAAACCTTAATACCGTCTAGTATTTCTACATATGTGTCTGACCTACAGAAACCTTAATACCGTCTAGTATTTCTACATATGTGTCTGACCTACAGAAACCTTAATACCCTCTAATATTTCTACATATGTGTCTGATCTACAGAAACCTTAATACCGTCTAGTATTTCTACATATGTGTCTGCCCTACAGAAACCTTAATACCCTCTAGTATTTCTACATATGTGTCTTACCTACAGAAACCTTAATACCGTCTAGTATTTCTACCTATGTGTCCTACCTACAGAAACCTTAATACCGTCTAGTATTTCTACATATGTGTCTGACCTACAGAAACCTTAATACCCTCTAATATTTCTACATATGTGTCTGATCTACAGAAACCTTAATACCGTCTAGTATTTCTACCTATGTGTCTTACCTACAGAAACCTTAATACCCTCTAGTATTTCTACATATGTGTCTGACCTGTAAAAACCTTAATACCTCTAATATTTCTACATATGTGTCTGACCTATAGAAACCTTAATACCCTCTAGTATTTCTACATATGTGTCTTACCTACAGAAACGTCCGAACTGTATTTTTCACACATGGTGGAGATTATTTGTCATTGACAAGCACACATGCTGAAAGGGAATGGACATTTTAATACAGACATGACAATTCAGGCGGGAGATTTTGTGTATACACAAAAGTCAATTGGTGCGTGACAAAAACTTCAGAACATGTATCCTGTGGTCATTGTGGTAAAGAAAGTGTTGTCGACACATTTTCTTAAACTCTCCCAACTTCTCTTTTGGAAAGTTCTTTCCAACCTGCTCAGGTTCGAGTACCAACTCCGATCTAATATCATGGTAGGTCAGTTGAAGACTGTCGTGACATCTGTATTTTTCCCCAACTCTCAGGACGCTATTATCTCTGAGGTTCCAAACACTGAATCTGGAATTTCAACATTGTCATCTTTATCTGACCATAAACGCTCATCACTTTCTCGTCCGGCGGTTGTCATTCAAAACGTTTCTGTGACGCTGATTTTGTCAGTTTGTAAAGTTTCCCCCTCATCGGCATTACACAATAATCCTTACTACAAAATCAAGCGCGTGCTAGCACAGAGTTTCTGGCAAGTCGCTGGTTAACCATTCAATGTACCTTATTTTCACCTATTTTGATAAATTGTTATTGTATTGTGCTATGATTCCAGTTTATATTGAGAGATAAAGGTTCATGTTGATGGAATTGTGTTTAATTATTATATGTCGATTCTACTTTAATAGCATATCTTATTTCAGTCTATCTTCTATTGAATGTTTCATAATCGATTGTGTCACTGATGTTGGCATTCAAGGTCAATGTTTGGCATTCAAGGTCAATGTATGGCATTCAAGGTCAATGACTGGCATTCAAGGTCAATGTAGGGCATTCAAGCTCAATGTTTGGCATTCAAGTCAATGTTTGGCATTCAAGGTCAATGTATGGCATTCAAGGTCAATGACTGGCATTCAAGGTCAATGTAGGGCATTCAAGCTCAATGTTTGGCATTCAAGGTCAATGTCTGGCATTCAAGGTCAATGTATAATTGTCCTTCTGTATAGTTGTTGGATTACTTGTAGAATTTCTTATTTCATCAAGGAACTTTAATTAAAGTATATGAAATTTGAAAAATTTGATAAGCGCATTCTATTATTAATTAATTTTGATTACAAGTATTTTTCCAATTGTGTACTCGTGTTTTAAGAGTGTTAAGGCTTTTATTACTATGCGGTTCTTTTCAATCTGGCTAATTACAATCGCACGTCACATCAATTTAAAATTATTATTTAAATAGGTTTTATTTATATCCTATAACCTTTGATTGATAGTCAAGCCAGAAATTATACTTGTCATCACTGTGTACCAGGTATGCTAAATACCATGCTCTCTATGGTTATAA